GGGAACAGCTGGAAAACATGCAAAATCAAAGGCTGTGCGGGGAGCTGAGGCTGATAGCGGTGGTTTACAATGGCAGGGAAGAGCTCAGATTAAATAAATTCCCTGCAGGGGATGGATGTTATTTTTGTTCCTTGAAGCATTAACGTTGAGCTTGAGCGGCAACATCCTGTTGACGCCTTTCTGCTGCCTGGATCTCGTTGATGAGTTGCTTGTTGCTCCATAAGTTAATATTTGAGGCTATGAAGTCACTTCTGGGGGCCAGATTTGACCTCCCGGTGTTTTCAATCACTGCCAACTGGATGGGTTGGCCGTCTAGGACTCGTACTGGCGCTGGGCTGTCTTTGAACAGATCAGTGGCTCTGAAACACCGAGAGCCCGGGCTGAAGCCGAGCACGTCAGAGCCTCTCTGAGATTGGGATAGGAATGGAAGAAAATGGGGGAGCTTTTCTGCTGCCTTCCCAAGGGATTGAACCGGACCCTAAAGGCACAGCTGCAGGAAAAAGCTTATTTTGCAGTTCCTCCACCTTGATTTTTGTTTGCAGCTGGCTTGACACGGCGTCTCACCTTGCTCCGAGCAGGGCTGCCTTTGCCCTTCCTAATACTCAAAGATTTTTTTTTTCTAATAGTCAAAGATGCTTCCCACGCCTGGCTCCAAGGGGAGCTGCTCCTCAGGGTTTTATTCCTTCCTACAGGCAGAAGCAGCTGGAGGATATCTTGGTCCTGGCCAAACAGTTCCACGAAACCACGGAGCCCGTGGTGGACTGGCTGGCGGTGACGGAGAAGAAGTTGGCCAACTCAGAGCCCATCGGTACCCAGACCGCCAAGATCCAGCAGCAGATCAGCCGCCACAAGGTAGGACCCGCGCGGGAGCAGGAGATGCTGAAGGAGGTGGTCGGTGTTGGGTCACGCTCAGTGGCTGTTTCTGCCCCACCAAGGGGGATTTTTGGCTCGAAAAAGTGTCGGAGGAGTTACCCAGGCTGTCTGATGTACAGAGAAGGCTGCAAACCCCAGCCCACCCCTGTGGGTAAATATTGATGTCCCTGCACCTCGCACCGAACGTGTCTGGCTCTGGATAGAAAAACCATCCCTGTTCGTGTTGAACTTTTTTAAATTTTTAAACCTGAAGTTTAACCTTAAGTTTGCCCATTCACGGGTGGGTTTTGTGTCTCCTTCATTCTTTCAGTTGCATTCGTTGTTTCTATTTCCCCTTTTATGTTTTTTTGTTGTTGTTTTTTTTATCCATCTTTTCACTCATTTTCCTTTCTGTTGTCCATTTTATCCTCCCCCGGCATTCAGGCTTTAGAGGAAGAGATAGAGAGCCACGCGGCCGGCGTCTCTCGGGCGGTCGGTGTCGGGCAGTCCCTCTCCTCCCTGAGCTGTGCCGCCGAGCGCAGGCTGCTGGCAGAGAAGCTGGAGTCTCTGCGGAGCCGCTACGGCGAGGTCCGCGAGCGGTGCTGCCGGAAGGCAGCGCTGCTGGATCATTATCCGTAAAGGATTACAAACGGGACGTCCTGCAGAAGCAGCATGCCGACCAGCTGGTATTTTCCATTTTCTTCCATGTTTCTGCTGGTTTATTTTGTCGCATTTCTCTGGTTTTATTTTTTTTGTTTGTTTCTAGTCTGACTTTAATTTTGCAAAGTTCATTCATTCCACTGCTGGTTCTCTTCAAGGCTTGGAGAAACACAAAGAGATTTCATGTGTTAAAAACAATAATTGTGGCCCCAAAAATGGGTTTCCCAGGGCAGGGGGTGGGGGGAAGAGAAACTTCAAATGATTCATTTGCTTTGTGAACAATGTCTGAGCAAGCCTGGCCACCCCGAGCCTTTGGAAGGCTGGATGCTGTTTCCAAGAATGAGAACTTGAAAAGCCCGGTGGGTTTTCCGAGCCAGGCTGGCCACCGAGGAAGCCGTCTGCTTCCGCTGCCCGGGGCCGTGCAGGCTCTGTTCAAGAGTGAGGTTATGTCTGACACAAGGGTGAGTTCTGCGGTAACACCAATCCAACGGGTCGGGATGGGTTTGCTCTGAGATTGGAGCCTTTGGGTCCCAATCAGTCCCGTAGCAGAAGGTTGAGGGGACAAGTCTCAGGTGTGTTGGCCACCCTTGGGTGGGAGCAGCTCGTGCTCTGCTGGGCGCTGGGACGTGGGGACCTCCGGCAGCAGGGTCACCCCGCTTTGCGTTCCTCCGCAGGCTTTGAACGAGGAGATCGTGAACAGGAAGAAGAACGTGGACCAAGCTATTCGAAACGGGCAAGCGCTCCTGAAGCAAACCACAGGTAACGTGAATTTCTGGGCACGCTCCGGTCGATGCGGGGGGTCTGGGGAGCCCCCCGTCCTCCGCACGCTCTGCCCTGGGAAGCCCCTGCTCTGCCGTGACGCGTTGCTTGGGACCCCCAGATCTAATTCCCTTTTGGATCCTCCCAAAATAAGTGTTGGGCATCCAGATCTGGGTAGCGAGCCACGTCACTCCGACTTAGGAAATCCCAAGTACCAACCTCGCAGCTCCCCGAGCGGGTGATTCGGGGCGGTGATGCTGGGCACCCAGCAGCCCTGCAACACGAGGGAGGGTTTTCTCCTTGTATCCAGCTGCTAAATCCCATGGACAGAGGTTAAAAATACCCGCAGCCCTTCCTGAAGATCGCTTTCCCATCCCGAGCAGTTGCTGCTGTTGCCACGTGGGTGCGAGTTGATGTTTGTGAGTGGGAGGAGAGGTCGGGGCGATGCATTTCCTTCAGATGCGGGCTGGAGCAGATGGACAGACCTCTGTCCCTGCGGGAGCTGCGGGGCAGGAAGGGGGATTACAAAGAATTTGGCTCCGAGTTGCTTGTCTCTCTGAAGTGGACCTTTTGGAGCTGTGACACGTTAGCTGAGGACTGAGCGGTGGTGGCTTTGGTGACACAGTCAGGCTTTGCAGCACGTGTCCCTCCTATGGCGGCGAGGGGGACGTTACGCTGGCTGGTGAAAAATGTCACCTCCAAGGGTAGCTTCCTGGCTGTAAGAATATGCTGTGAGGTTACCTAAAGTGAGGCTGAAATTATCTATTTAAAGTGGGAGGGAAGAGGGTGGCTGTCTCCTGCACCCCCCC